CGCCGGCGCGTGAGCTTCTGGTGGCGCGTGGAGGCGCGTGAGGAGGCTGCTGCCGGAGTTTTTCATGTTGTGGTAGTGTTGGATTTTGTACAACACTGACAGAAATGAAGCAGATAGAAAACAACCTTAAAAAGTACTGATTTCTCTTTCCCGGAATCGCTGGAATTTATGCACAGCGATTTCTCTTTCCCGGAATCGCTGGAATTTATGCACAGCGATAAGTTTCTCACAATTGCTCTGATACCATGTGAGAAGGCACGGGAGAAAATATGTTATTGATATTAGATGAACAATACAATAAAGAAGTCCTTATTTATAGCTATACTATACAAGGACATACTACTCTTCTACCAATGTGGGACAATACTACACTATATACATGTTGTAAACTAACAGTACTTCCCTTGCAGGGAGATGTGGAAAATTTGACGATTGAAGAGCGTAGATTAGATGACCAGATACGGTAGCTTCTTTGCCTGTAATACAAAACTCCAACATTGCTGTGCTTCATTTCTGAGCTGATATTGTGGTCTTGTTGCCTTCTTTCAGAGAAACGCAGGAACGGTTGAGGGACCTGAGTGAAGATGAAGATAATCAAAGGTAGCATCTTTGAGTAACATATGCACAAAGTTCTGTCATGCGCTTTTTCATAGATTTTTCTGCTTACCTTTTTCCTCTTCATTCTTAACTTCTGACATCTGTAAATTTTCTATAAAACAAGATGGCTTTTTGTCACTGAAGATGATATCAAGAGCTTACCTTGTTTCCAGGTGTATTTTAACTCTTCTTCCGCTTTTCCATTCCTTTTCTTTCTGAATCCAGCATTCATTAGTAGACTGATGCTCTGCTGTAAATTGATTGCTTTGATCAGAATAAAACATTGATAGCAATCAAAGCTCCACATGGCACCACTTTAGAAGTCCCAGATCCTGATGACGTAATTGCTTTCTCTTTAGATACAGCAAAATTTTCCTATTTCCTAGCAGGTCTACCATTATATAACTGCTTAGCGCTTCCGCATATCTTAGCATGTCTTTCTTGCCTCTAATAGGCTGTTGATTATCCACAAAGAAGATACAGAATAGCATTACGGAGCACCATGGGCCCCATAGATGTTTACCTTGTCAGGTACTTTTGCTGCTTCTTAGCACTATAGACTGCTCAAATATGAATCCGGTCCGGAGAGAAGGGGAGGGATGTTTATAAGCTTTCCACATTGTCTATGGATAACTATTTCTAAGTTTATAAAAACTTGCATTCTGTTGATTTAGTCAATTTGAGGAGAAGTTTGAAGAGATAAATGCAATTGAGGCAACTCCAAGCGTGCCTTCAACGTCTGGTTTGAATGAGAATGCAACTATGACATTGGCTACTGAGGAGAACAGAGAAGTTGATATTGGGATGGATGAAAAAGAAAATCAAGGAGTGGGCTCAGACGTAGGTACTTCAGAAGACTTAATGACTGGAATCATGAAGATTGTTCCAGATGTTGATGTAAGTTATTCTTTACGAGCATCACATTATTGTAAAGTTCAAATTTTGCATCCTCTCGTTTATGAGCATTACATAACTGCAGTGTTATTGAATGTCAAGCAGAAGTAGGAAAACATGACCCGTAAAACATTTGCTATTTGCCTTCCCCGAAGAAGAGATGTTTCAGAGACAATCTTGTTTATTATGATAAAATTCAGGATTTATATCACTATGATTTTCAGTTTCTAACTGTTTCCATCTTACAGAATGAAGCAGATTACTGGCTTTTGTCAGACGCTGATGTTAGCATCACTGACATGTGGAGGACAGAATGTATCCTACTGATTTCTGTTTTCTGCTTATCTTGATATTATTAAATTTATTTCTTTGAATATCCATAACTCAGAAATAGCTGCTATTGATTGGAACGAGTTGGATGTAATACAAGAGGATTTCTCAATCGCTAATGTCAGTACGCCACGATCCGAAACTCCACCAACCAATACAACTGAAGTACCTTCTGCAGCTAATACTACCGGGTTCTGAATGGTATTTGCTGGTGTTTATGTGGATGCCGTGGCTTAGTTTTCTCAAAGATGAATGTTCCATCAGCAAGATGATGCTTGTTCTAGTTCTAATAAGAGCTTCTCAATTCGATTAAATCCTCTGTACAGGCCATTTTAACTCTTATAGGAAAGAACAAGTGCAGCCAGGAGCTTTTTCATTTGAGGATCAAGAAATTGCAAGACTCAGGCCGATTGTTCATTGTATAGCTGATGCACTTAGATTGCACTTGTAATGACAATACTCAGTAGGTTAAGCTGTACAAATCTTGCCTTGTGTATTATCTAACTTATGGCTTTCTTCTTAGCTCTAACAATATTATTAGGTGGATTGTAATGTATTGACTTAGCTTATTCTTATACTTGGACAAGTTTAATCTTAACTCCCTGGTTATATATTGTGCTAGGTTTTGCATTTATCAACAGGGTTGCCATAGTTAGGAAAGAACAATGAAATACCAGAAAGGTAACCTGTATTATTTACCAACATATATTACATCAGCAGCAAAACTGTGGCCACATTACATTGTGTAAGAGTGTCCAATATCAACCCAGTCTACTTCTCTTTATCAGCTTTTTTACCAATCCAACTAGCAACAATTGGTGTTAGAGCAACAGTAGGAGGAAATCTAATAGGTGATGCAGCTTTGTGAGCAGCATAGGCCAATGCAAAAGTTCCCACTTTCTCCCCAGTCTCATCTGTTGAAATTCCCACCTGCAAAATATATGAGTTCCCATAGTTAAAATGATCCCCAAAAACAGAGACTTGTCTGCAATTATAAGGTCATAAAGTAACATATTATACTTCATATCTTCCATTTTATGTGACACTATTTCTTGAGTAGACCGTAATGACATATTTCTATATCTGGAAACAATAAAAGGCAGTTCGGTGCACTAAGCTCCCGCTATGCGCGGGGTCCGGGGAAGGGCCGGACCACAAAGGTTTATCGTACGCAGCCTTACCCTACATTTCTGTAAGAGGCTGTTTCCACGGCTCGAACCCGTGACCTCCTGGTCACACGGTAACAATTTTACCAGTTACGCCAAGGTTCCCCTTCTGTATCTGGAAACAATGTAACCTTAAATTTTCCCCTTATGTATCTGGAAACAATATAACCTTAAATTTACCATTTTACCTTAACGGCGTACTTCTATAGCTACATAAATTTCACGGAAAGACCACAAATTTCACAAGATTTTCTTAAACTCCGTGCTTAGTCAAACTCTACTACATCGATTAGAAAGGAGGGACTATACATTTTTATAATAACTTTTCGGGCCAACCTATGCTCCACAGGGTCCATGTGTCCCCTCGACAATGCCTACTAACTCTGCTCACCAATACTTAGATGGAAAGGAATCACCTATTTTTTGCCGCTACTGGTATTCAAAATCCTAGTCTGTGATAGTTTTTGTTGCAGTTTCATTGACCGTTATGCCACACCCATGGGTGCATAAATACATTATGTTTATTTCCATTCCTTTCCTTTTTCTACTAATTCCTTCAGACAAAATCTAACCCCAAGAGACTTTTGAGTGTTGGAAAAGTATACCTTCTGTAGCAAGGATTGAACATCAACACCAGCATTAATGAGAGCATAACAAAGAGTAAATGATATCAAGGAGAGTGTAATTGAGGTGGCTAAATAAGCTCCTCCATATTTTCCCAAAAGCTCTTTAGCTTGATCCCCTTTTGATTTCTTTTCCTTGTTTTCCTCTTCTCCTTCCTCTTTTGAGCTAAATATCTGCAACCACATTTAAATCACAAAAAGCTTTATTGATTATATGCTCTTAACTTATCATCTACAGTATTATTTTCAAATGTAATGCTGTAATCTAATTTAACAAACTACTAATAAGATAAATATTTCCTTAAAAAATCTTTTGGAAGGAGTTCTTGGGCATGGGAAGTAAGGAGCAGAATAAAATATAGAACCGTAAATGAATGTTAGGAACTTAACAAAATTTTCTTTGTTTTCCCAACAAACAAGTATAAATTCTTGTAATATACATATATGTTTTTTGTAGTTAATATTCTTTTAAACATGTTTTTTTTTAAAATTTATTCTCACTTCTCAAATCTGGTTAAAAATAATCTAAAACATTGTTACATCCCAACACCCACAAAACTAAAACAAGAAAAGGGAAAATAAAAAGGAAAGAAAATGAAGAAGAAAAACAATTACCTTCCAAAGACCAACCTCAAGACCATATTTCTTAGTGATTTCCTCAGCAGACTTAATTTCCTCTGTTTTCTCTTTTAGAGCCTTCACTTTAAACTTGTTCTTGGAATTTGAGGTAGTTGAATTTAGTACCCTGTTTGGTTTACTTAAAATTGGAAGAGCAGGAGATACTGAGCATAGAGCAATTCTATTGTGGTAGTAGTGAGAAGAAATCTGTGAAGCAGAGGCCATATTTCAGTTTATCCAAACGTTGCCAAAGTTTCTTCTCTTCTTCTTGAGGAGTGGACTCAAATGGAGAGTGGAACAAATATATTTTCAGATGGAGAGAGAGACAAGTCTCATTATTTCTGGCCTTTGTTTAACCATACCAATAATCAGAATATTGTGCATTTACCTGATTGCCCTCTTTAAATTTTCTCAATTCCCCTTTATTGGGCCTAGCCCAATGAAGCATGCATTAAGCAGCAAAATTTAGATGCGTTGGCCACTTTTTAGGTCGGCTATTAGAATTTAGTCATATTTTAAAGGGAAAATTACGCGACACATCAAATATATACATTGTATTTAATATTCGTAGCTATACTTTTTAGAAAATTTATCATTCGTAGCAATATTCGAATTTATAGCAAATCCCTGAAACAAGATTAATTTTGAGCTAAAACAAGAAAGCAACAAGCTCTCATGAGATAATTGGTTAGAGCGTCTGCTTAGTTACCGGAGGTCTTGAGTTTGATTTAACATTTTTATTTTTCTGTATTTCTATATTTTGCCTTGATTGTATTCGTTGTGCGAACAAATACAACCGATAACGGTTGTATCCTTTGTATACACCTTTGTATTTTGCCTTGTTACAATTGATACATGCTGTATTCGTTACGCGAATAAATATATTTGCGCGAAAGAATACAGTTGATACAGGTTGTATTCGTTGCGCGAGCGAATATAAACAAATATAGTTGACACAAGATGTACTCATTGCGCGTTTGAATACTAGTGATACAAGCTGATAGCAATTGAATAGCAGCTATGAATAATAATTAGGCAAACTATAATTATTAGGCTCTAAACTATAGTGATTTATAAAATTCTTCTATTTTAAATTGTATTGACAAAGTAGCCGCTTATTAATGCGAAAATATACGTCATGACAAAATACCCTTATCTAAAATACGGAACAATTCCAAGAACGATTACTGGACTTTAAATATTTATAAGTTCAATATTCATTAATTGTTCCTGGAGTTTGAATGACCTGAAGCAGTAACTCTTAATTGTTGATGTATAATGTGAATTCAAAAATCATGAACTATTTTTGAATTTTTCTGAATTTTGCAATGGTAAAGGTTCAAAAATTAGTATTTTTTCTTAGATTTTGTATTTATAGGTTAAATATTACTGAAGTATAATGTGAATTCAAAAATCATGAGTCGTTCCTAAATTTTGCACCGTTAAAGGTTCAAAGTAGTAATTTTTCCCAGATTTTATATTTTAAAGGTTAAAAATTGCTGAAGTATAATATGAATTCAAAAATCATAAATTATTTCTGGATTTTGCACTAGTAAAATTTTAAAAATTGATGATTTTCTGGATTTGTATTTAAAGGTTAAAAATTGCTGAAGCACAATGTAATTTCATAAATCATAAATAGTTCCTGGATTTTCTTAGATTTTGCACTAGTACAAGTTCAAAACCAGGAATCGTTCACGGAGTTTGGATTTTATACTAGTAAAGGTTCAAATTTGCTGAATTTTAAAATTCCAGCATAGTTTACTGGGGTTCACTTGTCAAAGTTTCGAACTACATTATCGATTACTGGAGTTATGTTCCGTATTTTAGTTAGAAAAAACACGTTAATTAATCAAATTACTGGCTACTTTTCTATTATAATTTAAAACATACTTTAACTCTAATAGCCAACTTAAAAATAACTGTTTATCAAGATTATCCATGTATTAACAAAATATGACAATCAGCCCAAGATTGGGCCCTTTTAAGGATAATAGAAAGCCTATGGAGGGATAGAGGAGAGACGTCAGGATGAAACCCCGTAAAGTAGGGGGATCTGATGTCAAACAGGTACGAGCGTTTATTAGGTTATTTCTCCTATTAAAGTATTTTAATAAGTAACGCGTTATAACTATTGGCTTGTGATGATTATACACAATTTATAAATAGAGGCTATATATCCTAAGCGTATTTTATTTTTGAATACATATCGAATTCTTCCAACTATGAGAGCATGATAGCTAACAGATTGTGGGAGTTGGTAACCAGGCTAAACCGCCAATTGCTACCACCCTGAATCAATGGAGTGAATGATACATTCGCTTAAACCTAACTCTAAACTATGATTCTGTATTTGTATATGGTGTCTTGATCTCTGCTATAGTTGTCAATGTAATCTCTTACCATATCAGCTTGAGATTCAAGTATTTTTGCATAATTATGCAGAGACATGTTAGGTCAATAAAATAATTATAAGCATGGAATTTGGAAACAGTAGACATGAAGTTATCAGGTACAAACTGGGGACAATATTTACTCAAGGAACTTTTCACTTTTTAAATCATACAACCATCCTTCCCCGGACCCCACCCAAAACCTTTAGAAAAAAAAAGACAATAACCAAAACAGTAATTACTTAGTAGGAACACAGTAGTTTCCTCGTATAGCCTCTTAGTCGTATGCATACGCGAATCTAGGATTTCAAGATGTTGAATGCACTATCGTAAAAAGGTTGATCTAGAATTTACATTTGACAGGTTTAATTAACTTTAATCTCGTACCATGAATCCGTTATATTTTTGAATTTATAGGTTCAAAATTATATTCTTTTTAAAATTTTAATGATTTTCACATATATATCTATACTTCGTGCCAAAAATAAGAAGTGGAATTTGAACCGCCAATTTTACTTGTAGATGTGTACCCAATAATTATTACACCATAAGATTCTTTAAGCATGGGTGCACGCACATATATTTAAATAATTTTAAAAAAATATAACATTACTATACATGGTTTAAGAAAAGGAGTATCGACTCACGTGAACCCATACCCCTTAAGCTAGATATGCCCCCCATTGTACATTAACAAAAATTGTCTAAACTAAGTTTATTTTTTAATTTTCAAAAAGGGACTAATCACGCAAGATCTATCAAAAAGGGACTAGATACCGACATGAGACGGGTTATGGTAGACGATGGGAGCGA